GATTGATCCAGTCTTTCATGGCTTGTCGATTTGCTGGTAGATATTCAGCTGCTATGATACTTTGGACGTGATTCGAGGCAGTGATGAACCTTGAGATGGTTGGTCCAGCGCCATATTCCAGCATTCTAGTCGCTTTTTCTCTTACAACTTGAGTCCAGAAATTGGTAAGTTTTACTAGAAAGAATTCATCTTTGTCTGGTTGATCGAAAAAACTGTCAAGGTAGACTTGAGGATCGAAAAAACTTTGGTCTTTCGTAATTTGGGAAGCCATATTGTTACGTGACGTTATTGTTTTGCACAGATTGCGTGTGTCTGATTTGAAATCAAATAGCGTGACGGATGAACTTCAGTCATGTTCGCCGCTCATTCACTTTTTACGTGGGCTTCCTGTGGAAGACCACGTCTTAAAATGCAAGTGAACTTTTCGTCGTGAATATTACGCTTCAAATTGGTAGCGCCTGCGTTGCACATGGTGTGCAGTCTCAGTTTCCATGAGAATGTAAACAAAATGGCTGATAGACGGCGGCAAGAAGTTGTCTCGTTTTAAATGGTTCTAAAATGTAGCTAAAATGCTTTAAAGAGCTGAAAATCTTACAAAATCAACTGATTACTATCCAAACGACATGGAATGAGATATATAATTCAAAGTTGTCGGATGATTCGTGCAGAAATGACTGGGCATTTTCTACCGTCGCCGACTCGAAGAGCACTACTTCGCCATAACAATTGTTCGATGTCAATCACAAAATCTTCAAAAATAAGAACTCACATGGATATTTAAGGTTCATGCGTTGACAGAAAGGTAATCATTCGATGGACTAAAACATATCAAACCTCATCTGAAAAATATTGATGCCATTTTCTAAACTGACAATGTGTTTAAAGTTGAAAACTGCACGTGTGAGCTTACTGAGCTCTGTACAAAATCTATATTGTGTACGAAGCATTTTAATTCTTTATTAACATTTGTTTCGATGATTGTTTAACTTGAAAAACTTAGACAAATCCAAAAATATGAACTGTTACACCTGTTTGATGATGGCACAGAACACCAGATGTAAAATTATAAATGACAAATTAAATAAAAACACCAAAAAGAACAGAAACACAAGATCAAAATATTATTCAAAGTTATACGATACTGAAAGAACTGCAAAGACTGTACCGTTTCATTGTCTATATGACTTTTCATATATTTTGCATATGTTGAATGATATAGACGCTCTTAGAGCGCAAAGTCGAGCTACTTATTTTGGAAAACTGAGAAAACTGACATGGTATCTAAAGAAGATACTTAGAGTTCAGTTAGTTAAAAAATTATGTAAATAAATAACTTATATTAACTTAATTCTGTCTTGACATATTACAAACAAAGACTGTATCATGAAAATGAAACACCATTGTCGCAGCTACTGGAAGTCCACGTAAGCGATCCATGATCGTCTAGTTTTTAATTTCAATAAATGATACAAATAGTATTGTACCAAAGGATTGAATTGGGTGGTAACGTTACATGGCAACGCGTTAGCCGATTAGGTCTATTATTTTGCTCTCCTTATCTTCCGATTCTATATATAGTTGATTTCTCTTTCAATCTTTCGAGTTACTTTGCAAGTGTTTTT